GACTTGCATTTCTCTGATAATTAGCAAAGTTGAGCATCTTTTCATGTGCCTCTGGGCCATCTGTACGTCTTCATTGGAGAATTGCTTGTTTAGGTCTTCTGCCCATTTTTGGATTGGGTTGATCGGGCCTTTGTTATTGAGTTGTATGAGCTGTTTGTCTATTCTGGAAGTCAGGCCCTTGTCAGTTGTATCGTTTGCAGATATTTTCTCCCAGTCTGTAGGTTGTCTTTTCATTTTATGTATGGTTTCCTTTGCTGTGCATTAGGTCTCATTTGTTTATTTCTGCTTTTATTTCTTTTGTTTTGGTAGACTGACCTAGGAAAACACTGCTTTTATTTATATACAAGAATGTTTTGCTTATGTTCTCTCCTAGGAGATTTATGATGTCCGGTCTTATGTTTTAAGTCTTTAAACCATTGTGAGTTTATTTTTGTGTATGGTGTGAGGGAGTATTCTAACTTCATTGATTTACATGTGGCTGTCCAGCTTTCCCAACACCACTTAGAAAAGGGCATAAGATTGGATCTTAAAAGTAAGGGAAGAGGTCATGGGAGGATGACTTCAGAATGGTATTTTTTTTTCTCTGCGAGGAAACTTAGTTATGATGTACAAGAATACTGATTTTTGAATTCAGAGCAAGTGGCCCTAAATCCATTAGGGCTGTGCTGGTTTTTGCTTCATTCAGTGAGTTTATACATAAAGACAGAAAGATGTGACTTTGTGCACAGAAATCTGCAGCAGGTTTCCCCAGAAACCCTTCAGAGAAGTGGGATTGCGTTCCCAGCAGGGGAGAGTAAGAATTGCCTCTGGAGCCACAGTGCGTGAACTTATGAGTCAGAAACAGAGTGGACTGGCACACTAAGGGACCCTCTAGGTAGGGTTAGAGGATGAGTTACAAGGGGTGCTGTTAGGTCGGAGACGGGAGACTTCCGGCCCACGGGTGATGACTCCCGATGCCCAGCCCCTAGAGTGCGTTTGCACAGAGACATCTGTGTTGGGTGCAGGATTTGAGGGGTGCTGTTTCACATGATGACCTGGAAGGAGCAGAAGAAAGGGGAACACGTGTTCTACCCCCCCCCAACCAGCCAGGGGGTTTGCCCACAGACCGTGTGATTGTTACTTGCAGGCTCCGACCCTAAAGCAGCTGTGGTCGCCAAGGTCCGAGCAGAAGCAGAACTGCTTCCCCTCTCCCCTCACTCCTCCAGAGCCCCCAGAGAGGCTCCATGGCTGAGAGGAGGAGACTTCTCAGAGGTTCAGGTGGAAGGCATCATGAGGAGCAGAGATGGTGGGCAAGTGCCTTGGCCAAGTTGGCGTGGAGGAATGTGAACAGAGGTTCATAGAGGGAGATGTGCCGAGGTCCTGCAGTTACAGGGGATGGGAGCTGAGAGCTCTTAGGATTTATCATTCAATGTAAATATAATCTCATTTGTATCCACACAAGGGTGAGGCTTGAGAGACTCAGTTTATGCATATGAAAGCCACCTCCACCATTGCAGCTCCCACCAGGTCAATGACCAGTGAAGGTGGGGGTTCCATCAGATTTTAGGGGCACAACCGGAGTCGGTGGAGCACCTCTGATCAACTGTAGAGGTGCCATCATTGAGAACTGTGTAGCCCTTGGGAAAGGAAGCGCTGGATGTCTTTGGCCAAGGACAGTCAGGAGTGGCAGTAAAAGGCCCTTGGCTCGCCCTCAGTCTATTCCTCATTCATGCATTCACATTCATTCAACAAATGTTCACTGAACACCTAACACACACCATCCACTAGTCTAGGTGCCCGAGATACAGGAACGAACAAAAAGGATGGAAGACCCACCATCTTGGGGCTTATGCTTTAAAAAGCAGACAGATAATAATTATCTGTATTTTCCAACTACATAGTACCTTAGACAGTCCTGAGAGCTAAGGATAAAAATAAAGCAGAGGAGGAGGATGGGAGGAGTGTAGGAAATTATATGTGCAGCTTTAGATAGGGTGGTCAGGAAAGGTGTTGGCTGAGAAGGTGGCTTTTGAGTGACGATGTAATGGTGGCCACAGTGAGCTCTGCAGATAGAGGCCGAGGGCAGTGTGCACGAAGACTTGAGGCAGGAGCATGCTTCCGCATTGGCGAGACAGTCAAGAGGCCACTGGGGCTGGAATGGAATATGAAAGAGGGAGGAGGCGTGAGGTCTAAGGGGGACAAAGGGGCAGGTCATGCAGAGCCCTGAGACCACTTTAACCACCCCACTTAACCGAGAGCGGAAACCATGCAAAGGTACGGAGCAGAGGACTGGACGGTCTCATTTCAGGAGGCCTTTCTCTGTGGGAGGAGAGAATCTGCACCTCACATCAGAGCTACTCTCTCCCTTGGCATGTTTGCAAGGAGAGGCTCATTAGGAAAAAGGCAGGGTGTGGCAAAATCTTTGGAGTTGGGGGGTCCTTGAATTTTTAGAGCATCTGAGCCCTTACCTCACCTTCCCCCTCAGTGAAAAATCATCTAAAATAAAATATCCCCAAGATAGAGAGCATCTTCACAATTGTGCTGTCGATGGAGGCCTGGAATCAGGCTGACCCAGTCAACCAAAGCCCGGGGAGAAGCAGTGGGGCCTTGGAGTCACTGAGCCGCCCTGGGGCTCTGCTCTTCATACCTCAAATGTGAGCTGTGCAGAGGGTCCCCCAGGGGGAATCAGGCAATTACTCCTGCTAAGAAACTGACCAACGCCTGGAGGCCCAGAGCTGCCCTTTGGGGAGACTGGGGTGAGAACGAGAGGCATGTGCGCAAGTGCTGTCCTGGCCCAGGCTCTGAGGCTGCGAGGAGCTGCTGCTTTCCTTTAAATGTGGGGTGGTATCTCTGAACTTACTATTTTTAATTCATTTAAAAAATTGTGGCAAAATACATATAACATAAAATTTACCATCTTAAACAATTTTAAGTTCAGTGGTATTGGATATATTCGTACTGTATGACCATCACCACCATCCATCTCCAGAACTCTCTTCATCTTGTAACACTGAAACTCAGTGCCCATTAAACAGTAACTCCCCATTCCCTTCCCTCCCTGACCCCAGTAATGGCCCTTCCACTTTCTTTGGACCTATAAGGTCAGAGAAGACCTCTTGTAAATCCACGGCTCCATTAGACAGTGGGCTCAAGGCAAGGGTCTAATGTAGACTTGTACAGGACCCATGCCTTACCTAGGGTTGCCAGTTCCACTGGAGCAGGAAACCAAGGAGAGGTCTCTGGGGACGCCAAGGGTCCTCCCACTCTGCTCTTCCTTCATGGAGACTGGCTGAGGCCCAGCACACACTACAAGGGACCCTCTGTAAAGACCTTTGGACTCTTGCCACAAAATAAGAACTCATTACCATATGAGATGGTCCCATTTGTGTAAATTCCCTTTTACCAGAAAAGCAAACAATTCGGGGAATTTGTACGGCTGATAAAAAGGCAAAAACAGAAGGAAAAAAAAAAAGACTGGACTGTTTGCATTTAACGAATGTCTCCTACCTAGCAGGACGAAACCTGTCTTTATTGAAGGGGGAGTGGAAGGTGAAAAGGTAATGTTCG